AAAAAAAAAAAAAAAAAACAGTGAGGCAAGTCTTAATTCATTGTCATGTTCACTAAGTTTTCATTTTATTGAAGTCCATGTTTGAAATAGTTGATAAACTAAATTTTTGGAAGGCCAAATCTTTAAAAAATTATACATTGATCAAAACTCAGTGGCATGTTTTGGAGGGTTCCTCCGATGAGAAACCATTGGCTTGCATGAAGGAATGAGGACGGCAGACGGTGAATATGCAGTCGTCCCTCTTTTCTTTTGATTCTGAGCTAAAATAAGTTAGGTCGCAGCGATGGCACCTCCTCAAACCTTACCAGTGACGAGGGGTCTCACGTGAATTCCCCGAGGGCATGGAGAGGCATGTGCGCTGCATGAGACAATGTTGTGGACACAGTGATGATCCGGGCTGGGCGGAGTGCGCTGCGCAGCCTTCCTGGGCTCCCCGAGGCAACGCCGACAAGCCCCTCAGGATCTCATGGCTTCTGTTGGCTTGGAGAGGACCAGCCCCATGTACAGAACTTTCTAGTTGGCACAACTCAACGCAAATGCATAAGAAACGATTAATACAACTCAGTAGCATATATAATCAGTTATATCTAATGAGTTCTTGATGAAATAGTTTTACAGTGACTTAACTGAAATGCGACCACAATGGGAGGCACCTAAAGACTTACTGAATCAACAAATCTGTTCCCCACAAAATTATTGCTTAAGTAAAGAAGAAACTTACAGAACAAGCTTAAGGGCCTGGGTACCTGGAGAGATACAGACTTTTTCTATCCCTGTGTCAGTAACAGAAATGCCTTTGAATGCCATCTCTTTTAATCATACTGTTATCTGTATTATGGGCCTATTCAGACTGATGTTTTGACCAAGGTTAAAAATTCTGTCCCAGTTTGGTTTTGATGCCACCACTGCATGTGGAGACAGACCCACTGACAGCTTCTCATACTGCACTCCTCCAGTTATTAGAACAATGGGCACGGTAGTAAAACTTTCTCATTCTCTCTCTACCCCAGCCTACACACATTTGTCAATCATGAATTTCCACCATCACGCTGAGGGTCAAGTGCCCCCCTCCGTGTTAGATACTCAGAGTCAAAACCAGGTCTGCCTTTGGTAAAACATCACTGTGCATATCGTTGTGCCTCACCAGCAAAATGGTTGATGGTACTTTCTTCCTTTGAAATCTTGTTGCTTTTCTTCCTCCTAGATAACATCATCAAGAGGATATTTAATATTTTGAAATTTACCTGGGTCCTGTTTCTGGCAACAGTGGATAGTTTCACAACTTGGCTTAACTCCATTTCAAGGGAGCATATTGATATATCTACAGTTCTGAGAATTGAAAGATGCATGCTGACTAGAGAAATTAAAAAGGTAACACTGTTTGTAGAACTCTTTTTGCTTCTTCTCACATTAGAAAAAATTTTAAAGTCAATATCCAGAACTCCAAATAGGATAAGAGAGAATCCATTCTTTCCTGGCAGTCTTTGCATAAACCCCTTTGTTTTTCTGTATATTTAAATCTCTTCCGTGCTCAGAACTAAAATAATCAGACCCTGTGGATATGCACACACAGTCCTGGGATAATGGCCAGTTCATTCATCTGCCCCTCCCCAGATCAAATTTGCAGGTGCACAGCCTTTACCATGCCCTGTAAAAGATTATGTTGTTTAGTCTAGGAAGTTTGATTTGAAACTCCTCATAAGAAAAATTAGGATATATGCAGAGCAACAAAATACAGTCATATGTGGTTTATAGAGTATATTTAAAAATAATAGTTCATTTCTGGAAAAGTTACCATACCTTAGCAAAAATGTCTACATATAAGAAGGGATTTCTTTTTTTAATATTTTAATTTCATTTTTATTGAGAAGTAATAGACATACATTAGTTGCAGGTGACATAGTGATTTGATGTTTATACATATTATAAAATGACCACCACAGTAAGTCTAGTTTAACATCTATCACCATATAATAATCACAAATTCTTTCTTGTGATATAAATTTTTGAGATCTACTCTCTTAGCAACTTTCAAATATATAATACAGTATTATTAACCATGCTGTACATTACATCCTCAGACTTATTTATTTTGTAACTTCTGACCATTTTCACCCATAGACAAGAAGGGATTTCTTGTTTAACATTACCCAGTAATATTGGGTACCGTTAATTTAAGAAGTTAACGTTAATCCCCAACTTGAATAGCTTTGTTTCAATCCTTACTCAAGGTGCATGATGGCCGACCGTTATCAGTATTAAGAAACGCCAGGTGGTAAGACCTAATGTCCTCTCTCCACAGGGCAACGTTCCTACTCGGGAGAGCATCCACATGTACTATCAGAACCACATCATGAGTCTTTCCAGAGAGTCAGGACTGGACACAATCGACGAGCGTCCTGGTGCCGCTTCAGGTGCACAACCAGCCGACAGGATGGATAGCTTAGATTCACATGACAGTATCTCCAGGTATTTCACCTTCTAAACACTGGGTTTGCTTTTGACAGAGGTTAAAGAGGTTGACTTTATCAATATGAAGAATGAATGCATGAAGTAAAAGTTAATGAAAACCTCCATTGATCCCCACAATGTTCAGGTTCTCTGCATGTGTACAACTAAGCAAAAGGAATGTTGTCCTCCCCTAGACTGAGCCAGATCAAATCGGGTATCAATAATAAACTGTTATAAATACCTGCATGATGCACAGGGACAGGGTGTAGATTTCCAAGCTGGAGACAAGTAAGAATGAGCCTTCCTGTTCACACAATTGCTGTACATGTCAAGGGCTCCGTCTTTAAATCCTTTTCAGAATGCTGCTCCACAAGTACCTTCTATTCTAGACTCTTCTACCATCTGCTGCTATCTTTGATTTTTTTCCTTTCCTTTGTCATGATTCATGACAAAATTCTAGAAGTGACTCTGTCAGCTTCCATCTTCCCTGAGTTGTGCAGTCACCTGCATTGTTTCACAACTGCAACCCTGCCTTGGTCATTCGCCATGGGCCAGCACCACACACTGCACATGGATCACCTCCATTAAGCTTTATAAAACCCTACAAGGTGCATGCTATTATCTTCCCCATTTTACAGAAGACAAAGTTCAGTTACAGAGAGGTTAAGTAATTTTTAAAAAGTCACACAGCTAGGAAGTATAGAAAAGCAGACCCAGGATCCAAAACCACATAGTTTAGCCCAGAGCCCAGTTTCTCAACCACCATGGCATGCTGCCTGTCTGCCTCTTCCTGCACTCCAGGCCAGCTTTGAGAATTGACCAGTCTTTCTTACTGCCTATCCCAGAAAAGCCTTGAAATTCTTTGCCCCTCAGTGTTTGGGATAGCCACTGTCTATTGTTCAGAGCTAGCTTCTGAGTTAAAGCAGAAGTCCTGTCTTAGGAGAAAAATGACATAGGGAGAAACTGAGATGATTTAAACCATACCAAATTCAGTATAGATAACTTGAAGTTGAAATTGCACCCTGAACAGGTAGAGATGGGTAAAATTCTGTTTTACCTAGAAGAGTTATTTTTAGCTATTCCTGAATTGCTGTATTGGAGCTTCTCCAACTGTGCCTGTTCTTTGGCTGCCCAATGACTACTGATGCAGATCTATAGTTATCGTAATGGGATGGTAGTCACTGTATAGAAAGTTTTTAGTAAGAGCTCGAGTTTTAAAATAGAATGTATGCTAAAACCTCACTTTTTAAATACCTGTGTATTCATGCATATATTAATCTAAATGTGACTTTTGTACAGGTAAAATTCTGCATACATATATCCCTTCCTGTCCCCCCCAAAATAGGTATTGTTTTTTAAAGTCCTTTGAGAGATAATAAGAGACATTGTATTTTTCCTTTAATTTGGGAATAATCTTTGCTCATTTGTAAGTTGCAAAGAAATGTATATTTGAACTATTATATAGTTTTGTGAACAGAAGAAACACAGGACAGAAACTTTTAAGAGTCTCAAGGTCAAAACATTTATTGGCTAATCGAGATCCTTTTAATACCTATAATAAAATAATTGTTCAAGATGCTTTTAATACCTATAATAAAATAACTGGTTATTAGGACAATGAGCAAGGTAGTAACACTTTCTCATTTTCTTTCTACCCCAGCCTACACACATTTCTCAATCATTAATTTTCCAAAATCATCAGTAATAAAAAGGTTGCAAAATAAAAATGTAGTATTATGTCTTTTGATTGGCAAGTGCCGATGGCACCTCTTTTTGTGAAGAGGCATCTTCCTGAAAGCATCCTACGATCGGCACTTTTGAAAGAGGAGTTTCAGACTCTTTTGGCAGACTCTGCTGGGACAAAAAGTCAATGATGTTCTTATTTTATTTTTTTGCAAACCATAATAACTGTCCTCTTTGGGAGCTATCAACTTTCCTAAATTTGCTCTTGTTACAATTCTTTACACTGAATCATTATTTCTAATCCATTTTCATGGTATAATTGAAATTATTAGTCCCATTCTACCCAGGCTCTTAGATATTCCATTATTCCATGATAGCTACTCCCTTAAGAACAAATGCAGACTGCATGGGTATGTGTCCGAAAGTGTCCACATGCGTGGGCAGGGAGGTAGGAGGAGGCGGGGTTTGTCTGAATATAGTGAATATTCAAGGCAATGTCTTAGTGCTGCTTCCTAGTTCCCGAGGTGAAGGAAGATGAATTGAGGAATCTATTATGTTTGGAAATCTACCCACTATATAACCTATTCCTGACCAAGCAACTGTTTTTCAAGACAGGGGAGAATGATAGGATGAGAAAAATGCTGAGATATTCTAGATGAGTATGTTTTCCAACACATTTTGCAAACCATGTGCAACTTCCCACTGCACTCAGCTTTGAACAGTGTTGCTCTGCATACATTGCATATGGGCAGGGTCTGCTGTAAACTATGTTTTCCTTAATTTAAATTCCAAAATAAAAGTCTTCAGGTAGCTCTAGTTGACTTAACTAAGTCATATTCAACTGGAATTATTTTCTCTCAGATAATGAAAAATACAACTATATACATGCATAGTATGTAATGTGATTATTGCATATTTGCATCTGTTCTTCAAAAAAGTACACTACCCATAATGTAATATATAATATTTTTTCATATGAATTTTTTTCCTCCCTTCTTGCCTTGTTTTCATAACGCAGAGATTTTCCTGCTAATTGGATCCCTAAGCTTGGCAAATAAGAAAGGGGATAGATGGAATAAGATTTCTACATTAATTTGCAATGACACTAATAGTGGTTGACAAAATTATTTTCCTGAATCTCTTTTGAAATTTCATGAAGTTATATGCTATCTCTCAAGGGGAAAAAGTGCACATAAATTCAAAGTTTTTCTATAAACTTTTAAGAGTATTACAGGCTTCACAAATACATACACTAGCCTAGCTTGAGAATAGCTGCTTGAGAACCAAACTCTGAATCAAACCAATCAAAGGAAATACTTGAAAGTAAATTGAAAATAACTTGTCCATCAAATAAACATGCATGATTCCTACATCAATAACTTTTAGCTGCATAATAATTGACAATATATCTAATTTGGAAATTAACAAAATATTATAAATCACAACTTAAGATGGGTAATTGAAGGAGAAGAAGAAAGACTGGCTAATATAAAATCAAGTAACTGCCTTTAAATCTGACCCAAGATTACAAATATAAAACAGTCCCCATGATCAAAAGCCATGAAGTAAAAGAAATTTAAATCCATTGATTACTTTTTAACAGAGACTGTCAAAATATTCCCAAATTATTTAAGAGGTCAACCAATCAATAAATTTACTAGTAGAAAACCAGTACCTTTAAAAGCAGTTTCTAATGTACTTTTTAATTTTTATATTCAACCTAAAGAAAGGGGTGACACAGTAAGGTCCATTATATTGTTCGTTAAAGAGTTAGTAAAGTTGCCCTTTACTTAAAGGCTGAGCTGCACTTCTACTTTCTTTGCTTTGGGAAATTTTCAAGTCTCCAAACAATAATTTGTCTACACTAGAGCCCACAGAAAGCCATGCTGATGGCTGGAAAAGCACTAATCTTCCCTAGGAGGGATTCCAAGTGTGGAAGCTCATTCTCAGGCACCTGTATCATTGGACAGGGTCTAGCATCATCCCCCACTCGGGGCCACACATGCTCTCCTGTGAGGGGATCCAGCCTGGACGCAGCTGTCCCACGTGCCACCCTCCTCCTGTGGCATCCATGACTTCTATTTTTACCTTTGGTCATATAGTAGATGGGCTCAGAGCAGAAACCTAACAAGGGAACTGTGTTCCCTTCAACTTACTGGAATAGTCATTCAAATCCAGGTATAAAATGGCACTTTTTAAAAATTGATTGTTTTATGAAATCAGATATCCAAATAAATTATTTTAAATTGCTACAAGAAACATTAGCTGACACTCTAAAGAGTACTCCTGGGTATGAAGGTATTGTCACCTAAGAGGTTGCTATGTGCCCCTAGCGGAGCTCGATGTGTGGGCTGATCAGTCAGGGCCCTTTGAGTTTGTCATCTCAGCCTGTTATTGTAAAGTCACCTCTCCCCTTTGACTTTAAATCTGTCCTGGATTGGATGACAAATTGGGCACACTACATATAACCAAACTGTGTGGGATTGTATGGGTTCTGCAGGGGATGCAGATGGGACAGTAGAACTCAACTCTAGAGTTAAACAGTATAAACAGGACTGAGAGACCAGAATGATGGTTCCCGTGCAGAAACTCTGAGCACTGCTGTGGGAGGGGGGACGGGGGACCTTCCTGCCATCAAGCCCCTAAAAGACCTGAGGGTCGCACCTCTAAAAATATGAAATGAAACACACAAGTTCAAAGATCCAGTTCCCTCAGCTCATAAATGATGAAATTGAGATCTCAGAGAGGGAAGCTGATTTATCTGAAACCCAGCAGCCATTGAATATTAGTGTAGAGACTCAAGCCCAGTTCTTCCATGCTTGCCCAATGCGCTCTAGTTCATCTTGTTCTCATCACCTTGTTTTGTCTGGGGCATGATGACATCTAAAGGAGTTATAGCCTTCTTTAAAAAAAATCAATCTCTGTGTCCCTATTAGAGACCATCTGACTGCTCACATGCTCACCTTTCTCATTGCTTGGCTTCTGTCTTGGCCATGTATCTGTGGCATACAGCACAGGACTGCCCCAGAGAATTCGTGGGGTTGTGTAATTGCTCTTGGAACCTGAAAAGCCCTTTACCTGGTTCCATGAGTGAGTGACTCACATTCCCTCCTCACTGACCCAGAGATTGTTACATCCTGAAGAGTTTCCATTTCTGCCTCATAAGCATGGGCCAAAGGTATCCGGCCTTGCAGGCTGGGTGCCCAGCAGGCCCCCTGTGTGGTTACATGACGATGATATTCCATCAGGGAATCGGTCATCCTGTGTCACAAAGGCCTGGCCCTGGGTCTGCCAGGTTCTTAGTGCTCAGGTTGGGAGGTTCATATTGCAATAGCCTCCTTCATGTGCTCTCAAGGGGGTTGGCCCCTTTTTGGGGTTGAACTGTATATCTGAACTTAAATCATGCCTGTGCCATAACTCTATTTGCTTCCTCCCCTCATAGCATCACCTGGTAGCATCTCAGTCCTGAATTTGCCATCATTCACTCCCCAGTTGTTGCTCTGTTGAGTAACAGGACATGGGGGTTTTAGCGAATGGGTTCCCACCCTCATGACATCTTCCAAGACCTAAAGCATGATCCGGAAGAAAAATGCATTAGGCAAAATGAAAAGTTAACAGACAAAATGACCCTGCCATTGCTAGAATTCCTTTGTTATTTTCTTTGTACCATTTTATTTCATTTATTTTGATGTTGGTTTATATCCAGTTGTATATCAAACCAGCATCTCTTCTATGTGCAAGGCATCTAGTTTGGCTTAACTGAATATCACTCAGAAAATGGGGTGAAAAATTCAGTTTGTTGTAGTAATTCCTGGCCTTCCCTCTCTCATTTTGGAGATCTTATTAAAAAGAAGATTAAAACCTTTTATATAAATTTTATATGAGCAGGCATTTCTGCTTATGCAATTTGGTTACATAACATTCTCAATAAATTCAGGATTGGAAGCTCCAAGTAAAATATACTTTGTTTAATTTAAAAAAAAACCCTCAGTTGCAGTCATAAAAGCATGAATACTGCTCTGTGGGAGAAATGCTGGGACTTGTAATTATTCTATTTCCCTGTCCCTCCCAGGAGGGACATTGCATAATTTATCACTAGCCAATCAATTTTTAGAAACCCAATACTGTTGTGTTTTACTATCCTGCCAAACAGGTCCTTTCCTGCCCTTGGTCCCGCTGTGGCGATCACCGTTAGCAGTGGTTGGTGTCGTGTGTGGTTTGCCGCATGGCTGTGTGTTGGTCAGTTGATCCACATGTAAACCGATGTACCACTGGTGTTTTAACACTGTGTCTCTGTAACTGTTTGCGCTGCTAGCTGCTACACTGAAGCAACCATGCTGTTCTCAAGGCAGTCTACCCTTGATGATTTAGATGGACCCGAAACTGTTCCTAAAACAAGTGAGCGTGCTCGACCTAGGCTCCGTAAAATGTTCAGCATGGATGTGTCCTCCTCATCAGCTGACAGTGGCAGTTTAGCATCAAGGTGCTTAACTTGTGCATGCTTTGTTCCATAATTGTATCACTCTCTCTCCCTCCATGTCATTGCAAATATAAGTTCTTGTGATGCATATTTTTTTTAACTTTTATTTTAAGAATTGCATGATTCTTAACCAAAGCATAACCATCACCCTTTCTGGGACATCACTGGTAGTTCCCAGGGCAGCATTCTATTAAATTAACCTCTCTTTAGTTTTGTCTGTTAGGAATTTCTTAAAAATCCTTATTGTAAACATTTTGTAAGTATTTCACACTTTTCATTTTCAAAGAAATAAGCACGTTTCCTTCTTGATTAAGAGCTTAGGTAGGCGGTCCTCAGAGGGAAAATGTGTTAGGGAAGGTAGAAAAAACTTTTTCTTATAATTTCACCAAAGGATACATGCAGTAGGAAAAATCCAAAATCTGCTGCATATAGTCATTCTAGTTGATACGGAATTAATCTGTCTGCATATTATGTGCGTGATTGACAGGAAAGTCAAAATATATTTTATCATTGGTTTTTGAAAAGAATATTGTAACACAGTAGCAGATATCATCTTTGTAGATCATAACTTGTTTTGTTTGGAAAAATTGCTTTGGGCTTGAGTTTCTCATTAAATCCTAACATAAAACAATAATCATTTAGAAATGAAATTATTTTCGTACAGTCCAAAAGCTCTTTTGGGAATTGCCTTAGAATGGTCCACAGGAGCACAGAGGCATCGGCTACATTGTGCTTATCCTGCTACTAAAATGACCCAACTCAAAACAAATTTCCATTTTGGCTGTTGACACTGGCAAATCCAAGGGTTGTTAACCTCCTTTCATTGGCAGCTGTATGTCTTGGTATAGTGCTGCAGTAGCCTGGAGCCGGGCACTGATAGGAATGCCTCGGCAGTTTGAGATGTCCTCTGGCAGACACATGCTATGCCATTCCACTTGCTGACCCATGAAGGTACCAGGGTTTGTCAAATTCCTTCAGGGCCAGACCTGATCCCGAACCATAGAAAGCATGCTTGTAATTGGTTATAGTCCAAATGAAACTTAGACCTGGTGTGGGGTTGGCTCCAGTGCTGTGAAAACTCCCCAGGGTGATCAATTTCATGGCCTTCCTAGGAGGTGATGTCTAACTGAGGTATGTCTGGATTGCCTTAGCACTCCAAGGGCCTTCTGTGTGATGTGCACACTTAGCACCAAGCCCCTGGGAATATCAGGCTCCTCAGCTATGGCCAAAGGCTCACACAAATCTCCTTCTTTAGTTTCAGGATGCCCTGAAGGTCTCTGCCAAGGCCCACCCACTCAGCCACCCACCCACCCATCCATCCTTCTGTTCACTCATTGACATTTCTACATAGGTGTTTATGACAAGAAAAATGAGTAGAAGATGTGCATTTGAGAAATCTCAGTGTTTGTGGACCGAGCTCTTCACTATATGCCATTCAGATACAACACAAATTCAGAGTCTGACAAAATGCTGGCTCTACATCTGCCAAATGCCATATCTCTGGATAATATTTAACCCTCTCCCCTCTGGGGCTGGATGATTCTGGGGTAGACAGTAACAGGCATACCATGAATTTCATCGGTGGTGCTGCTATATTTTCATTTCCATCTTTTCCTTTACAGACCTGCCAGGGAAAGTTAGAAGATAAAGGAGGGAAATGAGGGGAGAGATGCAAGGGAAATGAACAGGGTGAGGTGACTAAAATAGTAATGATAAGTGGAGGATGCAAATGAACACTAGAGGGGAGCTGGTAGAAGGAAACAAGTAGCTGGGAGGAGAGAGAGCAGGAGTCCCTTGGGGGTGGAACAAGCAGCCGAAAGGGAGATCACACTGGGGGAGGAGACCAGGGTGGGTGTGCCCATGTGTAAGGCCAAGAACTCAGTGGGAGATGGCTGAGAGCTGGAGAGATGGTGAAAACTCAGTCAAGTGTAATAAGCAGTGGTAAGAAAGAGGCAAAGGATGGAAAAACAGCAAGGAGGAACAAATATTAAAGAAGTAGGCTATTTTTTTTCAATCATGCAGTTTTTTAACCAATATTTTATCATTGCTCTTCCCTTTTGGGCCTGGGTGAGCCCATTTTGTAGAATTGAGAGTAGAATACATCTTGGCCAACACCTACAGACTGAAGCTGAACAAGGCTTTTCATTTCCATGTGCACCCCTCTTTAGAATACACATGCCATGGTGGGTATGCTAAGCCAACTTGTTTTGATTGAGAAATAAACACTGGAGCCCATGGCTGTGAAGGGGTAGGATTAGAATCCTCTGCCACAGGTGGGTTCAGCTCCTGAGCCATGTGTCTTGCTCTGGTTTTCGCGGGGTCCCGTGCTGGTCAGCTTCTGCATTTATGAGACCGCTGTCAGCAATCTCTGCAGATCGGATGGACATGGGGGTCCTGCAGGAACAAGGCAGATGGAATGCAGGGGGTGCGGTATATGATTTTCTCACCTGCCTTGATGTTTTTATTTGGGAGGCTGAGTGGTTCTCGTGAGGCTTTGGGAGGCTTGCGAGGTGCCTGGAGGCTAAGGTGAGGGTCGATGCGGCCCCTTTATCCTGACAGTGAGCCCACGCAGTGCACCATGCTGTACTCGCGCCAGGGGACCACGGAGACCATCGCGGAGGTGGAGGCCGAACAGGACGAGGAGGCGGCCGGGGACCCCGACAGCGAGGGTTGGGGCACGGGGCCTGAAGAGACAGAGGAGGCCTCGGAGGCCTCGGAGGCTGGCCTCAGCCCTGACACCGAGTGCCCCCAGTACTCCACTGAGGACGGGGAAGCCGAGGCCCCGCCCTCCTACAGCAAGGCGGTCAGCTTCGAGCGCCTGTCCTTTGGCTCGTGTGATGGCTCCACAGCTCAGAACCGCATGGCGGTCAGCCCCGATGACAGCCGCTCAGACAGGCTGGAGTCCAGCATCCTACCGCCCCTGACTCACGAGCTCACCGCCAGCGAGCTGCTGCTGAGCAAGTAAGTGCCGGGCAGGGCACGGGCCGCCTGAGGGGACAAATGGGTGCGAGCTGGGAGGCTCGGGCGTGTGCCTGGACACTCGAGCCGCTACGTGCATGGCTCAGTCCTTCTGGACTGCAAGCACTTCACCAGTGAACGACAGAACTAGAAAAATTTGTAATAAGACAATTTTGCTCACATTTCTGAGATACACCATTAGGCTGACTCCACAAGAAAGCTGGGGACATAGGGATCATGCAAATGGAAATCAGTAATTTGGAGAAATTAAGACATTTATCATCACAGTGTATATTATTAACAGGATGTTCCATGATGATGAGCTTGAAGAATCAGAAAAATTCTACGTGGGCCAGCCCCGGTTCTTGCTGTTGTTCTATGCCATGTACAACACGCTGGTGGCCCGCTCAGAAATGGTGTGCTATTTTGTGATCATCCTCAACCACATGGTCTCTGCCTCAATGATCACCCTCGTGCTCCCCATTCTTATCTTCCTCTGGGCCATGCTGTCTGTCCCAAGGCCCAGCAGGCGGTTCTGGATGATGGCCATTGTCTACACAGAGGTAAGCCTTATGTGGAACCTTCTAGAAAATCGCTTGGGTATTCCCTCTAGGTGGGCCTGCCCCAGCTCCCAGAGTTTCACATAGAAAAATCAGTTAGATGGATATTCTTAGAGAGATAAATGATTATAACTAACAGTTATCTAGTGATAGTCACTGTATATACCTTTTCACATTTCACACTTCATACAAGGTAGGTGCTAATATCATTCTGTTTGAACAGGCAAGGGAAGAACTTCAGTGAGATTAAACAATTGGCCCCAAGTTACCCAATTGGAGGGCAGTGGGGTAGGCTTTTGAAGTTTGGTTGTATGCCCTGCGATAATAATTAAACAGTATGCAGAAACAAATGGCGCCAATGGATGTAAGGTGATTGGACACTGCATTAAACAATATAGTGAGCACTTTGAACATCATTTGATGCAGCATGCATATTTCCCATTTTTATACCTAAAAGGCAGTTTCCACACATCAGAACACTAAGTCAATAAGCACCCACTTAAAAATCTGAATGACAAGATAAGGTAAGTTGCCAGCCTATTTTCATCACATGTAAGGGAACAGGAGATATTGCACCCGGTTCTGTGAACCTGCTTCCATCCTGCCTCATTAAATATGTAGAAAGTCACAATTTCCCACGACAGCCGTGAAATTGGGAATGAAAGGGGAGGCCAGGAGGCTTTGTGCCTTGGGTTATCATGGCTCTTTGTGTTTTGAGAATAACTGTTTTAATTTTTGCTGTTGAATTATTTATAAACCTACAAATTTCTAGAATCTGTGTATCATGAGAACTATCCTTTAGAAGTCAATTACAGTACCATTGTTGTGAAAACTTTTCTTTATGAGCCAGGTAAGAAAATTAGCCTTTTCACAAATCTCAAAACACAAATTATATATTAAATCATTTCAAAAGTATTCAGTTCTAAATATCAGTATCATGTATCTTATTACTATAATAAGAGGTACAGGGAAACTATAGCAAAAGAAGACTTTTGAAATATTTTTATTAATGAACTGTGTATATTGCAATTAACCCCTGATGACACAAACATTAGAGGTAGAGGTATGCTTAAATAAAAGTCATCAGTTTTCTCATTTATCCTACTACCTCTGCATACTGCTTCTCTACAACATACATACGTTGAACCAGTTACCAGTATAACTGGAAAGTTTTTGTTTCATTTACTTTTATTTTTTTCTTGAGGAGAACTTCCAGTGAACAATAAAATGGTGAGAAGAGATCAGAGGAAAGTGAAAAGTATGCACATCAGAATTCTTAATATGCTCATAAAGATTACAAATCAAAACAATGTGTAAAATACAAACTTTTCTGTTCAAGTTTATTCTAATTATCATATTTAGCAACTGAATAATTACATAAATGTCTAATTAAATCACTATAAATTAGCCAACTCCTCAAAAATAAAGGAATCACTTCAATAATGTCATGGCTCTGACTGGCTGTGATGTATCTGCAGTCAAGAGCACTTGTAAGAGGAAGATACTGCTCTTATCTAAGTCAATGGTCAGTGAGAATTATGTTATTGACTATGTGCATTCCTAAACTGTGAAATGATCTTTTTCTTAATTTCCTATGTCATTGTTTCCTATATAGAACTATTCTTAAAAGGAGTAATTTTTAAAAAAAAATTTCTATCATCCCTGTGTAGGTGGCAATTGTGGTCAAGTATTTCTTCCAATTTGGGTTCTTTCCCTGGAACAAGAATGTAGAATTGCACAAAGACAAGCCTTACCATCCCCCTAATATTATAGGAGTGGAAAAGAAAGAAGGCTATGTACTTTATGACCTCATTCAGCTCCTGGCTCTCTTCTTCCATCGATCAATTTTGAAGGTACTACACATTAACAGTTAACCAGCACATATTGATCATTGTGGCCCAATGTTCCTGGAGCATCTGAGCATTAGGACTGGTGATGGGGCCTAGGGGCCACTGGTGGCGCCTCCTTGTATGTCTTTCTCTTTTTAAACAGTTCTGTTCATTTTGTGGACACTTTGTCCAACACCGTGTGCTCAGTAATGGAGCTTACAATAAATCTGGGAGAAAATTTCTCCATATTTCTGCCCTTGATTGAACATATTATAATTAATCCACATTTGCAGGAATTGCTTGAATGCTGTACAATATCTTAATGCCTGATACACTAGGTTCTACTCCCAGTTTGAGCCAGAATATCAGAGAGTTACAATTTGGGGTGGGGCATATTGCTTCTCATCTCCATTCCAACTTGTGTGGAATTTCTTTTAGTACAATTGCCCTTTTTGGGCATTTCTTGTCCTGAAAGCATAAGCTTTAGCAAGAGATCACATATTAAATGGTCCAGTGGAGAGCCCAGGGCTATGCTTCCTGTAAGCTTATTGTTGAGAAATCCCTTCCTTAAACTGCCCTGGGGCTGCAGGATGACCAGTCTCAAGGTCAGTAACTCTTGTCACCTCTCCAACCACTGAGTGGGTTTTCTTCTTATATATTGTGGACCATAAGCTAAATTTGGAAATATGGCACTCAACTCAAAAAATTAGAAATTTTTGCATAGCATATATTTGTTACAACCTTACTTTCTCTTATTTTAACCTTGTCTCCTTTTATAAAATATTTTAGATGCATTTTATCAAGTAATATCTTTATCAGTTCTTTTTAAAACAAGCTAGGCCTAAGTTAGTACATACACACACACACACACACATACATGCACACATACACATATAACAGTGTTTCAACTTCTGTCCTCAGTGGGCTATTTCAAGCTGGGCTTTATTTGCATGTGTCTTGGTCAAGATCTTCCATCTGTGTCTTGCATCACTTGCAAAGTGCCCAAGTCTCTAAATCTCCATTCTAGGGGAGCCTTAGTTGGGTCACTGGGGTGTGGTAGCTTTGCAAAATTATGTTACTCAAGAAAACCAGTTAGCCAAAATTAAATTTGCCTAAATTTTACAGGTCTTCTGATAAATTACCTGAATTTATCCAATTTATTATTATTATGAGAATATTAATAAATGTATAAACCTTATTTATTTAGTTCTAGAAATGAAAGTATTAAATTTCAATATTTAAGACACGATAGCATCATGCTACATGTCAATTATGTCTCAATTTAAAAAAATGGTTACCAAGGAGGATGGGTTAGGGTTGGGGGAATGTGAAGAGGATAAAGGGGCACAATAATTTGCAGTCACAATATAAGTTGGTCACGGAGACTGTAGTACAGCATGGAGAATATAGTCAATGATTCTGTAACATTTTTCTACATTGATAGATAGTAACCACACTAGAGCAGGTGAGGATTTAATATCAGTAACTGTTGAATCACTGTGTGTACATTTGAAACCAGTGTAAGATTGTATATCAACAATATTTCAATTAAAAAAAAGGTATAAATTTGGCAACTTCAGAATTCTTTTACAGCTTTTATAACCTTCTGAATGTGTCATTTAGAAAATTTACATATACCTTTAAGCATTTTTTCTATTTTTCATTCATATTTAAATTGTTTAACAGCTACAATTTTATATTTAAAGAATATAATAAACAAAACTTTAGTGTTTCATATTGATACACTTACTCTGATTTCTTTGAAAATTTCGTATATATGGTGAATGTGTTTGAGGTGCTATTATGCTGAAAGTTAGCTGGCAATATGAAAAATACTTTTTGGAATCTTTTCATATGACTACAAAACTACTCTACAGCTTTTGAAAAAATATACTAATTAAACAATGCTTCTATGCAAACCAAACAATTAAAGCTATGTGGAAATTTCAAAAGAGATTAAAACTATCTTATTTAGTATGAATTGCTACAAGTTTCATATAATTGGAAGAATTCATAAACAAATAATGCTAAGAAAGTAGGAAAAAATCTGAACATGTCAAAATGTTGGCAGAAGGGAAAACAACTTCAAATGATTTGAAAGAAATCAATATAAATTGAAAAATCCTGCCACAGAAATCTGAAATGTTTATTGTTTATAAGAATACATTCATTGTCTTTTAAAACTAATATATCTATAAGCAAATATTTAAGAAGCATCTATAAATTAGTGACTTTGTCTTTTAATGAATGGATCATTCTCCAAGTTGTTTTTTGGCCAACCGAGTTTTGGCAAATTGGCCTGGAGCCCTTTCCCTCAACAGTACGTGTCAGAGAGGGACTGGATGAGGTGGAGAAGCACAGCCTGGCAGTCTGGGCCCTCAGGAGGAGGTGAGCCCGCTGGGTGGCCTTGTCTTACAGCAGCAGGCTCATCGTTAGGGGGACGTAAGGTCAAGGGAGCATCTTGCTCCAGCAAGGTGCCTGGTTTCTAAGCCCTCTTCTGCCATCATTCCTCCCATCTGTCCTTCCATCCCCTTTTATCTCACGTCCTTGAGGCAAAAATCAGACTCTACAGAGCACACCACAATCTCTGGGTCACACGTGGGCAAACATTTTTTGAATAAAGTATTTGCAGCTCTGTTTCTGGGGCAGCCAGGGGAGAGTGAAGGCTCACACCCTGCTGCGTAGGTTGCGGGAGGGACCACATCATTATTCCCATAGAGATACTTGATGCATTTGCGACAGTGGGGCTGAATTTACCCATTGATACTTCAGCTCATGCTTCAAAACCTAGCTGTGAGCACAGAGAGACATCTTGGAAAGTGCTTCTGCTTGAGGAACAAGACATGTTAATTTCCCCTCCACTCCATCTGCCAAACATCTGTCTCTACCTCAGTTAATTAGCCAGATTTATCATCTGCACCCACCCATCTCCACTCTGCTGGGATCAACGTAAACTTCTAGATAATAAGTGGTCTTAGAATCCTTTCCCCTGCCTTGGTTTTCTAATCATTTTTTTAAAAAATATCAGATTTATTGAAGTATAATTGACAAGCTTATTCAATATTTAAAGTATACAAGATGATTTGATATATATATATATACCTTGTGAAAGGATTCACCTCATTGAGTTAAGTAACACAGCCATCACCCAGCCATCACCTCATATAGGTTTGTTTTTTGTTTTTTGTTTTTGGTGAGAAGAGGTAAATTCTAAATCTAGCAAATGTCAGCTGTATAAGAGTGTTATCAACTACACTCACCCTGTTTTAGAACTGACTTTCTAATCTGGGGGCACAGTGTGTGGATGAGATACCCTGGGCAGAAACCCTCATGGAAACGACGCTGACTGTCCCTCCCCACACTTCCTCAGTGCCACGGCTTATGGGACGAGGATGACCTCGCCGACAGCAGTGCAGACGAGGGGTCGGACGACGAGCTCTCCTTCAGTCAGGGCCGAAGAGCCTCCTGCGACTCTCTGAGGTCCATCAACCTGGCCGCGTCCTCCGAGTCGGTGCATGTGACCTTCCCTGAGCAGCCGACCGCCGTCCGCAGGAAACGCTCCTGCAGCAGCACCCAGATGTCCCCTCGGTCCAGCTTCTCTTCCAATAGGTCCAAAAGAGGTATCCGGCTGGTGGTATCCTTGCGCTGGCGTATCGCCCAGCAGCCTCGTTCCCTGTGCCAGTGGGGCAGGGGCAGGGTGCTTTGTTGGGTGCATGGAGGACACAGACACTGTGATGTGAAAACAAAGTGCTTTGAAATCAGACAGACAGGAGTTCAAATCTTAGTTCTGCTGTGTGACCCGGAGCAGTCACACATCATTATGCAAAACGTCTGTTTCCTTCCCAGGCCAAGGATTTCAGGGATTGTGAAAAGTGGCCAGCATGCTTCCCAGTACTAGTAAATGCTGGGCCCATGACAGTTTTTATATTATATGCAGAGATTCTTCCTAGTGTGTCCATAATGTTAAAAATCATTTATTTTGAAAATACAGTTGATCCTTGAATAATGCAGAAGTTAGGGACACCAACCCTCCTCACAACTGAAAATCTGCATATAAATTCTGACTCCCAAAATATTTTACCACTCAATAGCCTACCATTGACTGGATACATTAATGATAACATAAATAATTAACACATATTTTGTGTATGTTGTATGTTTTATATATTGTATTCTTACAATAAAGTAAGAGAAAAATATTTTTTTCAAACTGTGAATCTCCAAAATTTTTTCCAATTATTTATTGAAAAAAGTCCACATATTAAGGGGCCCTGCACAGTGCAAACCTCTGTTAAGAGTCAACTGTATATTTAGATTTAATCAGTGGGAGCTTTTAGTGAAACCTTCTAGTTTTTTCCTAAGCTGGTTATTAAATTCATACTAAATAGTGAATACAGTCAGAAAGTAGATATGCCTTACAATTGCCACTCCTGGAGTGACTGGGCTTTTGTATTTATATGATCCTGTCTGAAGCTTTTCAAACTTGTGTACTCATCTTCAAAAACACTGTTCAGGCAGATTCATATTTATTGCAGCAGGTAGAGTAATCTGAACATGAGAAAAGGCATGGGTCATCAACCCAACCTGGAAAACCCACAGCCTAGGACCCCATCTAGGACTGTAAAAACTGTTTTTCTAATGTATTTTTTCCAGGGATAAAAATCACATAACAACCCGGGAAGAGCCAGCATTGGGTGTAAAAACCCACAGATGTATTTTGCTTTGGAAGCAAAGCCAAGAAGGCAGATTCCAAGTTTTGAGGCGCCTTTCTTACGGGAATCTGTGTAGACTTGCCCTCTGAAACAGCTTCAAGCTGCCCCCCTGCAGGGCCGGCACCAGGGGCCTCTGTGATGTTTATGTCAGCAAACCTGTAACTCACTGCTGCTTGGTTTCTTTTTATTTCTAGGCAGCACGAGCACCAGAAATAGCAGTCAAAAAGGAAGCAGTGTTTTGAGCATCAAGCAAAAAAGCAAAAGGGAACTTTATATGGAAAAGCTTCAAGAACACTTAGTCAATGCAAAAGCATTTACCATAAAGAAGTGAGTGCATGAAAACCTGTTTTATTTTAGGGCTGGGGAGCCAGTATTAATTATTTCCTATAAACCACAGGAGAAGAGCACAGAAGTAACTTCTCATATCACAAACATCCACTTAAGGCTGAATAAAATGACCCATTATTATATTTTTTTTTTTTTGAGAGGGCATCTCTCATATTTATTGATCAAATGGTTGTTAACAACAATAAAATTCAGTATAGGGGGGTCAACGCTCAATGTACAATCATTAATCCATCTCAAGCCTAATTCTCGTCAGTCTCCAATCTTCTGAAGCATAACGAACAAGTTCTTACATGGTGAACGAATTCTTACATAGTGAATAAATTCTTACATGGTGAACAGTACAAGGGCATTCATCACAGAAACTTTCGGTTTTGATCATGCATTATGACCTATAAACAATCAGGTCAAATATGAATATTCATTTGATTTTTGTACTTGATTTATATGTTGATCCCACATTTCTCCCTTTATTATTATTATTATTTTTATTTTTAATAAAATGCTGAAGTGGTAGGTAGATGCAAGATAAAGGTAGAAAACATAGTTTAGTGCTGTAAGAGGGCAAATGTAGATGATCAGATGATCAGGTGTGTGCCTATGGACTAAGTATTAATCCAGGCTAGACAAGGGCAGCAAGACATCCACGGATGCAGAAGATTTCTCTCAAAGCAGGGGGGGTGAGGTTCTGAGCCTCACCTCTGTTGATCCCCAAATTCTCACCTGATGGCCCCCCTGCGACTGTGCCTGTCTTAGGTTGTTCCTCCCTTGAGGAATCTTACCCGTCTCTGGCTAACCAGTCATCTTCCGGGGCCATACAGGGAAATGTAAAGTTGGTAAGTGAGAGAGAAGCCATATTGTTTGCAAAGGTTAGCTTTTTACTTCTTTGCAGATTTATGCCCTGTGGCTTCTATGCCCAGCACTTGTCTCGAGGTATCTTTACCACCTGGAGGAATTATGATACTCGGTAAATTCGATATGAGGCACGAATTCTATTTAAGGGTTGTAATTAGGAAGGAAGAAGAAAAGCTATAGATGTAGCATATGAAGGAAACTTGGGAGGATTGATTATTTCTTTGACATATCTTCTTGTATAGTACCTTAAGTATGTATAGGTTTTAAACTACTAACTAATTTGCACACACATATTAACATAATAGGAATACGGTGACATAAACAAAGCAAATCTATAATTACCAGCCATCTCCAGTGAAGCCAAGAAAACCATTTAGGCACCCTAGGCATTTGTGAAAATTTATCTATGATATGATGGATATTTTCCAACTGTACTTGAACCATCAGACAAATTAAAGCAGCCCATTTCTGGGATCTGTTCACATCCCATATGTTCTTTTAACCATAGATAGTCTATAGTCATGAGATTTTGGGGTGCTACAACTTGCACCCCTCCCAACTCCTGGTTGAGTTCCAACAGTACAGATCCAGTCAAATTCGTTGTCTCACTGTATGCACATGCCAGCCTAGACATCTCCCTCCTCCTTCTTATGGCAAGTCCAGGAGACGGTGGGCTGGATGCAGCCACAACCGCAGCATCGTCCGGATCCCTGTGGAGGCTTTTTGATGATCATCCCCCGGCACGAGTCCTCCAGAGAGTGCTGATGCCGGAAGCTCCTCCTCATATCGTATCTTAGTTCATTTTCTGGGTATCCAAGCTAGGCCTTGATCTTCTGCGTAGAAACAAACAGACCCTTTGCCCACACTTTGACATGCCCTCTATACCACTGTGCAGAACTCATTGGAGGTCAGCACACAGTAACTGCTTTTTTTTTTTTTTTTTAATTAAGAGAAAGGAATATTATCAGAAAAGAGTACCTCCATAGCTGATCATCTGACACCCTTTAAGTGATCAACATTAAGGATATTTAAAGCATGCGTTGATCTTTGATTTACCAATAGTTTTATCCTGTTAAGGAGTAATCCCCCTTTTCTTTCTTTCTTTCTTTTTTTTTTTTAAATTTTTAATCTACACTTACCTGAAGAATACTATGTTTACTATGCTCTCCCCTATATCAGGTCCCCCCTAACAACCACATTACGGTTACTGTCCATCAGCTTAGCAAAATGTGGTAGAGTCACTACTTGTCCTCTCTGTGTTGTGCAGCCCACCCTCCCCTTTCTCCCTCCCCCCCATGCATGCTAATCTTAATACCCCCCTTCTTCTTCCCCCCCCTTATCCCTCCCTGCCCACCCATCCTCCCCAGTTCCTTTCCCTTTGGTACCTGTTAGTCCATTTTTGGGTTCTGTAATTCTGCTGCTGTTTTGTTCCTTCAGTTTTTCCTTTGTTCCTATACTCCTCAGATGAGTGAAATCATTTGGTATTTCTCTTTCTCCGCTTGGCTTATTTCACTGAGCATAATACTCTCCAGCTCCATCCATGTTGCTGCAAATGGTTGGATTTTTCCACTTCTTATGGCTGAGTAGTATTCCATTGTGTATATGTACCACATCTTCTTTATCCATTCATCTACAGATGGACATTTAGGTTGCTTCCAATTCTTGGCTATTGTAAATAGTGCTGCGATAAACATAGGAGTGCATCTGTCTTTCTCAAACTTGATTGCTGCGTTCTTAGGGTAAATTCCTAGGAGTGGAATTCCTGGGTCAAATGGTAGGTCTGTTTTGAGCATTTTGATGCACCTCCATACTGCTTTCCACAATGGTTGAACTAATTTACATTCCCACCAGCAGTGTAGGAGGGTTCCCCTTTCTCCACAGCCTCGCCAACATTTGTTGTTGTTTGTCTTTTGGATGGCAGCTATCCTTACTGGTGTGAGGTGATACCTCATTGTAGTTTTAATTTGCATTTCTCTGATAATTAGCGATGTGGAGCATCTTTTCATGTGTCTCTTGGCCATCTGTATTTCTTTTTTGGAGAACTGTCTGTTCAGTTCCTCTGCCCATTTTTTAATTGGGTTATTTGTTTTTTGTTTGTTGAGGCGTGTGAGCTCTTTATATATTCTGGACGTCAAGCCTTTATCAGATCTGTCATTTTCAAATATATTCTCCCATACTGTAGGGTTCCTTTTTGTTCTATTGATGGTGTCTTTCGCTGTACAGAAGCTTTTCAGCTTAATGTAGTCCCACTTGCTCATTTTTGCTGTTGTTTTCCTTGCCCGGGGAGATATGTTCAAGAAGAGATCACTCATGTTTATGTCTAAGAGGTTTTTGCCTATGTTTTTTTCCAAGAGTTTAATGGTTTCGTGACTTACATTCAGGTCTTTGATCCATTTTGAGTTTACCTTTGTATATGGGGTTAGACAATGGTCCAGTTTCATTCTCCTACATGTAGCTGTCCAGTTTTGCCAGCACCATCTGTTGAAGAGACTGTCATTTTGCCATTGTATGTCCATGGCTCCTTTATCAAATATTAATTGACCATATATGTTTGGGTTAATTTCTGGGGTCTCTAATCTGTTCCACTGGTCTGTGGCTCTGTTCTTGTGCCAGTACCAAATTGTCTTGATTACTATGGCTTTGTAGTAGAGCTTGAAGTTGGGGAGTGAGATCCCCCCTACTTTATTCTTCTTTTTCAGGATTGCTTTGGCTATTCGGGGTCTTTGGTGTTTCCATATGAATTTTTGAATTATTTGTTCCAATTCATTGAAGAATGTTGCTGGTAATTTGAGAGGGATTGCATCAAATCTGTATATTGCTTTGGGCAGGATGGCCATTTTGACGATATTAATTCTTCCTAGCCATGAGCATGGGATGAGTTTCCATTTATTAGTGTCCCCTTTAATTTCTCTTAAGAGTGACTTGTAGTTTTCAGAGTATAAGTCTTTCACTTCTTTGGTTAGGTTTATTCCTAGGTATTTTATTCTTTTTGATGCAATGGTGAATGGAATTGTTTTCCTGATTTCTCTTTCTATTGATTCGTTGTTAGTGTATAGGAAAGCTACAGATTTCTGTGTGTTGATTTTGTATCCTGCAACTTTGCTGTATTCCGATATCAGTTCTAGTAGTTTTGGAGTGGAGTCTTTAGGGTTTTTTATGTACAGTATCATATCATCTGCAAATAGTGACAGTTTAACTTCTTCTTTACCAATCTGGATTCCTTGTATTTCTTTGTTTTGTCTGATTGCCGTGGCTAGGACCTCCAGTACTATGTTAAATAACAGTGGGGAGAGTGGGCATCCCTGTCTGGTTCCCGATCTCAGTGGAAATGCTTTCAGCTTCTCGCTGTTCAGTATAATGCTGGCTGTGGGTTTATCATATATGGCCTTTATTATGTTGAGGTACTTGCCCTCTATTCCCATTTTGCTGAGAGTTTTTATCATGAATGGATGTTGAATTTTGTCAAATGCTTTTTCAGCATCTATGGAGATGATCATGTGGTTTTTGTCTTTCTTTTTGTTGATGTGGTGGATGATGTTGATGGATTTTCGAATGTTGTACCATCCTTGCATCCCTGGGATGAACCCCACTTGGTCATGGTGTATGATCCTTTTGATATACTGTTGAATTCTGTTTGCTAATATTTTATTGAGTATTTTTGCATCTACATTCATCAGGGATATTGGTCTGTAATTTTCTTTTTTGGTGGGGTCTTTGCCTGGTTTTGGTATTAGGGTGATGTTGGCTTCATAGAATGAGTTTGGGAGTATTCCCTCTTCTTCTATTTTGTGGAACACTTTAAGGAGAATGGGTATTATGTCTTCTCTGTGTGTCTGATAAAATTCCGAGGTAAATCCGTCCGGCCCCGGGGTTTTGTTCTTGGGTAGTTTTTTGATTACTGTTTCAATTTCTTTGCTTGTAATTGGTTTGTTTAACTTTTGTGTTTCTTCCTTGGTCAGTCTTGGGAGGTTGTATTTTTCTAGGAAGTTGTCCATTTCTTCTAGGTTTTCCAGCTTGTTGGCATATAGGTTTTCATAGTAGTCTTTAATAATTCTTTGTATTTCTGTGGAGTCTGTCGTGATTTTTCCATTCTCATTTCTGATTATGTTGATTTGTGTTGACTCTCT